TTATTATATATATTTCTTCAAAACGATTACATTCCATAATTGTTTAATTGAAATTCTTGTTATGAATTATTTAAATTTCATATTTAGATCATGGATGTTATTAAGATTTTTATTTTCTATCCTTCCGAAGGGTAAACGAACCCCTATAACCACCAAACCACCAAAGTAATACCCACTTCACATTACATCAATAAACCCCTCGAACACGTACTTTTTACGTGATTCAAATTTATTCATTTACTCGATCTCAAATATCGACCGCATAGCCGACGAAACTTTCTTTCAAAATCCTTTAAGCTTGCTCGCTATCTGAATTATAATAAGTATTCCTTCGCTGAAACTACGGATTTAAAGAACCTCGCCTATGTATATAGTCATATTTTCAACTTCACATCACATCCAACTTCACAAATCAATTCTACCTGACTCTACTCTACTCTAATCTAATCATACTCATATCCTCTAGACTATGGCTTATATAGATTTACTTCTACTTCTTTCTTTATTCAAATAGAGATTTATATATATTTACTTTGGTAATTAAAGAAAGCAACTAAATAAGGAATATACCACATGACATAAGCCGTAACTTGAAAAATTAATTAAGTGTGTATAGTAAAATATATAATATAAATACATTAAGTTATTCCTAAGGAATTCTTAGGTTTAAAATTTCACGGACACTAGTTGGTATCTGTTCTCTATATATTATTTCCCAATAGTTTTAAAGGGTCAAAATTTCGGATTACGGCTTTAGATGCTTTGTATTTACTAAAAATAAAAACAAATTATTATTCTGCTCAAATGAGACATATATATGAGCTTCTAAAATTTTATTATTATTTTTTTAACGAGCTAATTGGTCATTTGTCCCACTGAAAATAACTATAGACTATAGTCGAAACATTGATGACAATAATATATAAATTTTAAACATAATTTAAAAAGTTATGTATGATTTAAACAATTGGCCAATTATCTTGTTTAAAAATCAAAATAATAAATAAAATTTTATTCATTAAAATAATAAATTTTAAGATTTTAAAAATAGTTAAAATATAAGTGAATGAAATTATATTATTGAAATGAATCATCTTTTAATTATTGAATTTTTTGGCCTAAGATTTAAATGTTCTTCAAACATATTTTAAGTCTTGAAAATCATGTGACTAGACTTTCTTGAAACCGCTGGCTAGACTTTTTGCTAATCTGACAACTTCCTCTAGAGTAAAACGAAATGATAGACTCGCCATCCTGCTTTCCTAAGGTTCACCCTGATTAATTCAACTTATACGCCGTGATATCTAGTAAATAAGCCCTGGCTACTTATTCAGAGCCCCTTGAAATAATTTACAAATCATTATATATTTCATTATAGTATGTTTATACAAAATAATTTTTAATATAAGATTCTAAAAGTTATTGTTATGCTTTAATTAAAAGCGATTCAATAAAGACATATTGTCAAATAAAAAAAAATGTTCTAGAGTATCTATATCTGGTGTAATTTTGCAAATTGACTTCATCTCCCATACTTTTTTATTCGTTTCTTGGACCAAGCAATTATCTACTACGTTTACTCTTTTTTTTTAAGAAAGAACTCTGTTTATAAGTATAAGTTTATAAACATGTTGGTATATAAATTGTTATCAACATATCTTAACTCCTTTGTGAATTGCTTCAGAAATTTTATTTCTACATAACTTTATTTTAAGAAATTATAATTAAAGTATCCTTTTGTGCAATTAACTTTTTTTTTTAAATATTTCCGGCTTTTTTGCCGTCAAAACATAATTAAAGTTGTGCCCTCAGTTCGCGTGCGTATATCCTTATCCTTTGCCAAAAGGTTTGCATGGTAACAATTTTCATGTGCACCACAACGCCTAAAAGCGAAAATCGATAATTTTCTTCAAGCGTCTAGTGTGCAATGAAACTTTTGTATGTACCATGAGAATAAAAACAGTTTAAACAAAATAAACTAATTTTATTATAATAAAAAACAAAAAAAATAGTACTTTGACTTTGTTAAAACTTTTAGTACATCCTCACACACACATGGTTATTTTTTTATATTATCTATTTTAAGTTAATGCAAAACTTACAACACCTGTAGGAATTATAGAGCTAAAATATAACAATGAATGTGTATCTACAGAATAGAAGATAACAAATTGTGAACAACTAAACAATCTGGGTATATCGCTAACATCATGTAAATTGTTACTGAATTTTTCCTGTACTGAAATTTTTAACAAAAGATAGAAAGACTCAACGATATGCAGACATCTGTATGAAATTCATTCCAATAAAAGGAAATCCAAAATTCTCATTGACATGTCCCGTAGAGATATAGGTCTTTTGGTAGGTTTACTTACAGGTCACTGTAAACTAGGGAACAATGCTAGGAGATTAGTTCTCCTAGCATGGAAGGAGATCTCATCGTCTTCTCATCTTAGGAAGACGATGAGAGTACCTCTCAACCGACATATTATTTTTTCTCTCACTCTCAATTTTATTATTTGCATTGAAAACAACAACAATGAAAGATGTCTCATAAAAGATATAAGTCTCATTATCGGTTTGCTAATAAGTTAGTCAATTGATAAACAAAACTATGAAAATAAAACTATGAAAAACTTTTTTCATTAACTCTTGCCCAAACTAAGTAAAAAATTAAAAAAGTAATTAATATCTGCTATGAATTATGACAGTATCCAGCACATACACAACATAGAAAGATATGTTTCCAATTTATTTTGTAGACAATCTTAGTGAACTGCAGGATCCAGTCTTAAAGATTATTTAACGATTTCTAAATTAAAACTCCATTTACGTCCACTGAGTTTTATATAGCTACACAATAGTCTAAGTGGATCTTTCAAATTAGTGTAATAACCGAATTTAACCCTATATGAAATGATTCAATAACGGTTAACCAAGTTCCGTTAAATATGTATAATAAAGATAATATATTAATTCAGAATGTAGCGAATAAAATCAAACCCTTGATTTGCAAAATGTGTTTTACAAACTCCGCCGCACACACTTGATCGAAATCATATTCAAACATGAATGACAAGCAAACACATTTTAAATAAAAAACAAATTAATGGAAATAACCATGATTTCAATGTGATGTATTTCAGTTTAAAAATCAAAGCTGCAAAAGTAACATTATATAATACAAATAAAATAACAACCACAAGTCCTTTTGTTAAAAAAAAAACAATTAAGCTATCATATTTTCACTAATAGTAGTTGTGAATTTTAATATTTGAATAATTAATAACACGCTGCCACTGACGAGGCACTTCGGGTAACCGCCAAACTAAGGAACAATTTCATTAAGAACTACCAAGTGATGTCCCTCCACAATGGAATAAATATAAGGTTACTTAACAATTGATCTTAAACTATTTTAGCGTGTCAACGGGAAGGTTATATCTTAGCTGACAAAATGTCACCTTTGCTTGGAAAGAGATGAAATGTCTGGGTCTATTTCTTGTAAATATTCGGCTTTGATGTAGACCAGAAGATCTGCTAAGTTTTCATTTGACATGCTAAATATATTCTGTTTGATTAATGTCAGTTATTAGCTCAAAAAATCTATTGTGGTCACAATGCACTGCTTTATTAATAACAAAGAGCTATTATTCTTCTCTAAACTGTTTTATTTTATTATTTTTATTATTTTGCAAATAATTACTAAAACTTCACTGCGTTCAACGTACTAAACCTAACTTTATTTCAATATTAAATAAAGTAAATTTGAATTTGAACTGTACAATGAACTGCGAGTTTATACTATATTTCAAAACTCTTATTAATTAAGATTAAACTAAAATACCATATTATATTAAATAAATATTTTTACTTTCAAAGAAAATATTTACATAAATATTATTTACATAAATATTAATACTTATACGACGTAAGCAACAACTTTATGCTTGTCAAGATGCTAAAACGTGTGCATCCTCAACAACATTGTATGTCAACATGTTGACAAACATTGATCCTTATCAACATAACATACCATCATTTTGACAGGTTACGAGCCTGTTATTTTGTCGTGATTGTCATAGCCATATTTTAGTCACCTAACAGATTACATATTTTTAATTAAACTATTTTCTACAAGTTCAAAGAAATTTTAATTTAAAGCTAAATCGATTTAATATAATTGCAGTTTTGAAAAAATAAAAACAAGTTCATTTTACTGAACTTGTTGAAATAACCATAAAAATAATATAATTCCATATGTAAAACAAAAAAATATTGACAATGAAAAAAACTTCAAGTTTGTTAAATCGATAAATAATTTTTCTTAAGACTTGAATTAACGTGAATTTTCTTTTAAATATTTTTATCATTTTTACATGTAATAATTTTTTATAAATAGTCAAAACCACTTTCTGAAGATTATAAAACTAATGCTGCATTTATGGCAAACTTTATTGGCCAGCATATTTTTCCCTTTAAATGATAAGCGTCTCAACTGCCATTTAAGACGAGACAAGTTAAGTCATACATTTTGCCATATGTTATGTGTTGTTGTTATTGACATTGCTTTATTTATTACTAGTTATGCTACCGTTTTTCACCTCTTTGCTTGCTATATTTCTTGTTTTTATTTTACCAATAGTTTTATGATTATTATTGTAGAAACCAAGTCTGCGCGAAACACAATTATTTCTTTGCAACTTGCGTACATAAATAGTAAATTGTGGTAACGTACCAAGCAAATAACGGTTTTGTGACTACCAACAATGTTGTTGTTGGTATTTTTATTATATGCGTTAATAGGCGTGTCAAAATAGGGAACTAAAAACGAATAACTCAAAAGAAACAAAATCTTAAAAATAATGTAGAAACCGAAAAATTCAATATTCTACTCAGCACATACATATGTATAATAGTCAATTGGATTTTTTTTTTAAATAGCAACACATGATATTTCAAAATTATTAATAATGTATACACAAAAAATTAAAACTTACCTTTTTAATTTATGCAAAAAACAAAACAATTTAATTTGTAAAATATGCCGCTTATTACGTATTAAACTAATATTGCATATATATATATATATATATTGTTATTAATTTCGCACACCGGAACACCTTTAAATTTTTTACTTTGTATGTTTATCCCCTGTTTTCACTTAAGCTTCTATGATTTTCTTATTAGATTTTCCGATTAAAATCAAGAAAATTCAATAGCACTTCTATACGCTTCGTTGTGTGTGTAAACTGTTTTCAAATGAGAAAATCGTTACAAACACCAATATTATATTCTGTATTTTTCAATAGCCACAAATATGTATAAAATTATTTATGTACACCCACTCTAACGTAGAGAATCACTTGGCATTTACGTCCGACAAAGCTCCGCACTCGACTGAAATTGCAAAGTGGAAAATTTTAGTTTTGCTTACAAAAATCACAATTGGAAAACTTTTGTGCATGCGCTCTGCTGATCTTTTATGTACTCATCATTATTATGTAGCATAAGGTTGCCAATACCATAAAAAATATAAATCTCAACTGAAACAAAGTTTAGATAATATAAATTTTATACCTTGTTTCCACTGCTTACTTAGTAAGATACTTGTAACATTAAGCTTTTTGTCGTTTACATTAGCACAAGTCATCGATAGCAATAGTACTTCTGTAGTCACGTTGCGCTGGCTTAGTGCTGCTTAGTCAGACTATTGAATCAAAATAGAAAATTATTCATTAACTGGAATATATATTTAAAGTAGTTGATGATTGAAAATTTTTTTGAGCGCTATTAACCAAATTTGTCAATTTTATAAACTTTTCAATTGTGAATAATATGTTCCTATTTTTGAGCTCAAACTTCATAAAATAATGAAAATTTTAGAAAAAAATTTATTTTAAAGGAAAGCCATATAAACTAGTATCTACCATAATATAATATTATAATGGAGGTATTTAGGCATACCTCCGTAACTCTTTAACGTCGTAATTTCACAAAAATAAACACATACCTATACACAAAATTTTACGATTTTACCAAGTTATGACGCTACTGAGCGCGTCTAAATATAAAATAATATTATGGTAATATATGTTATTTAAAAACCGATGTTTTTGTCGGAGCGAAAATCACAACCGACCCGATTTTTTTGTTTTGAATTGGAACGAAAACCGAAACAGAAAAAATAACGGTTCGAAGACTTGCAGAAAACACAGAAAATGCAAAGAAATTAATACATAATGTGTGTGATATTGTTTAAAATATGAATGCAGCAGTTCTTGCATATTAAATATATATTTGATATATAAACTCATTTATATATTTTTATATATCATATATATTTTTTTCATAAAAAACAAATATTTTAAAAAATTCTTAGTTCTTGTTTATTTTGATTTGTTTATTGTTTGCATTCACATTTTGTTTTATGTGTCAAAAAAGTAAAATTTCGACAATTTCGATCATTTGCAATATTGCATTCGTCAATTTTGGTCTTACTATATTTTTAAGTAAGTTAAAAAGCACGGAATCTCTTTGTATAGTTAATGAAATTTACTTAGCAATCTTAAGTAAGTTAAGTGTTCTAACGAAGCCAGTGGAAACATACGATTACCTAATTGCTTAAAATTTTTATACCATATTATATATTATTTATATAAGTAAAGTTGAACAGAATAATTATTTTTTTGTTATGAAGATCAACTGTAACTCTGCGCTAGTGCCTTAATTACGATTATGCCATGGGAGGATATACTAGAAAATATTTTTTATCTACATTTTCACTAAATTAATTATAATAAAAGAGAAATAAGGAAGAAGATGCCGAAATCCTCCAGCAGTTTACTTAATTAATTGTCAAATTATAATTATTAATTATAAACACATTCATATTTGTATATGTATAAAGTAGTACTCTTATTGGTATTATGCTTAAGACACATATAAGAGAGTCATATAAAGAATGGTCCAGAAAATTTTATACTCTTTTAAATCATGATCCAAGGCATTTTATATAGAGTGTCATTTGAAATTTTTGTTGTTTTCAATGTAAAATGAAATATTGAGAATGAGGGCAAGCGATAAATTGCGATTTAAATTTTGTCACAGTGACGAGGCCTTGCGTACCTTGACACATTGATCAAAACAGCGTTTCTCAATAATAAATGTCAAAATTAGGAGTAAAAATATATATCTTTCTATTAAAAAAAACTAATACGTGACAGTGTATTTTTATAATTTATAACATCAGCATGCTCGTGCTATAGTGCAGCATTATTTTTACGTTTTTGACGTCATCATACTTCTCGTACTGCAGATCAATGTTATTTTTCTCAACCTTTGTGCCGTCGTACATTTATGACGGCATCATGCTTCCACTCCAATGTACTGTTATTTTTATTATTAAAAGAACAAAAAAATAAATAATTGGTCGTTTACGTTTCAACTTACCTGATGCAATCGAAAACAATTAAAAAAATATACAAAAATTTATATAAAGAAAAATATCAAAAATTAAATAAACAAGCAAATAAAAAAATTAAAGGATCTTAAAAAAAATAAAAAGAAGTGAAAAAAAATTGAGAAATGGTTTTAAAAAAAACTAAACTAAAAAAAAATTTAAAAATATTTTTTTTTAACTTTAAGATAAAGTGTAATGCAAAGATTTTTTCATAAAATGCACAAAGTCCACAATTTATTTCAATTGTAACAAATAATATATAATTAATATGAAAATATGTCTGTAAAAATATGTACGTAAAACTACTGATTACCAAGTTATTTAATTCTGTTTAAATGACTACGTTTACGCGAGTCTTAAAATCACTTTTAAAACTGATTTTAAAATTTGTTCTTAGAGCGTTTACGCACAAAAATTAAAAGCACTTTTAAGGTAGCTGTCAATCAATCAGCTGTTTAACAGTAAACAGAAATGTTGATTTTAAACATTTTTAAAATGAATAGAGTAAAACTACAAATTGTTTTACTTTTATTGCAAAAAGAAATATAACCAAAATTGTAGAAAATAATAATGAAGCAACAATGCAGATTTTTAAAACATCTCGTAAAAAATTTACAAAATTACGAGAAATGCGATTGCAGCTCTTTAATAAAATGGCAATAAGTTCCGCTAATGAGGCTTTAATGAATGTATGTAAATGTTTTTATAAAGTTTTTCATAAAATATTTAGAATGCATTTTTGTTTTTAGCTTCCACCACGAATAAGAACTTTTAGCAAAAGGAAGAGAAGTTCGGAATGGTGGGATGTTGAAGTTCTGTAGTTCTATGACGATGAACAATGGATTGTTGATTTTAGAGTGAATCGACAAATATTTTTCAGGCTTGTAGATTTATTTAAGGATAAAATGGCACCAGCAGAAAATACTTTCGTTGAAGGGTTGAATATTCCCAACCTGAACATATGTACAATCGACAAAATTTGTCGTCCGGACAACTTATGCGAGATCATATATGCGCGTACTTGGCGAGAAAATTTCCACTTCTACATAGAAGCAATTAAAAAAATAATGTAGAAGAAACCAATTTTAAATTAATTAATTTATAATTTTTTTTATTTTTTTTTATAATAACAATATAATATATATAATATAATATATTTATAACAATTTGTGCTTAATGACAAATTTAAATAATTGAAAATAATAAACTTAACTTAAACTAAACTAAAATGTTTTAAATATATAGTCATCATTACGGTAAAGTTAAGATTTTCAAATAGAGAATAAAAAATAAACAAGTTTAATTAATTTAGATTCTGGGATGCAATTAGGCTTTTTCTATATTTTTTGCCGTCTAACAATTTAATTATTTGTTTTTCTGCAAATATTTTAATTAAACATTCTTTTTCCTCTTTCATCCAATTTTTTCTTTTCATTTCCTTTTTCTTCATATTTTTAGTTATTTGGTTAGTGTTATTTGTAATAAAATTCAAATTATTTGTACCTATTTACTGTTAACAGCTGACAATTCAAACCTTAAACTGCTTTTAAGGTGTTTACGCAAAGATTAAAAGTGACATTTCTTACTAAAAGTGATGTTAAACTACATTTAGTAAGCTAAAAGTGCTTTTAAGCAAAATTCAATTTAGGGTGTTTACGCGATCTTAAAATCGATTTTAAGAGCCTTAAAACAACTTTTAAGGCTCGCGTAAATGTAGTGAATACCTCAATAATTAATTTGTGCAACAAGTTCACAAAATCCTTGAAAAATCAATTAACCGATTACTCATTTCAATATAACAACATTTTACAACACTGGAAAATTCGTAAACATTTGTTTATTACTGACTAGATATAAGTGGTTATTTGAGTACCTCCCAATATATTTATAATAATGGCTACAAGTAAATAACAATTATAATAATGGATATATTTTCTAAGAATTGCGTTGCTTTATTGTGCATTTGATTGAGCTATATATGTTGCTGGCAGAATATAGAATAACTAAATCTAAAATAGTTAACCGGCTTAACCTGTTAAAACCAATTGGAAAATAAAGCTGCAGTTCATATTGTTTTATATACAAAATAAATATTTCATTTTTTTTGTAGCGGGCGTTTTATTTAAGAGCTCCGCAACATCCGCTGGAATAGCGTGCCTATTTTGTGCAATATGTTTTTTTGCTTTACGTTTAAATATTCCATGGTTTCGCGCAACACAACTAAATACCATTTTTGGTGGATACGTTGGATCTTGGCTGTTTTTAATGAGTTTAACTGCAGTGTCAAATATTGAAATGATATTGTTTGGAGCCGATTACCAAGCAAAATTTATTCCGGAGATTTTGTTTTGTATAACTTTGGCTACAGCCGCCTCAGTTATGGTCCACCGTGTTAGTGCAACATCTTGGTAAATACATTACTTAATTGTCAAATTAATTAACTCATTAAACAATTGTTTTAGTGTTTTATTCTCCATTATTACCCTGTATTTTGTACACGGAGTTTCGGTGAAATATTACGGAAAGGGATTAACAACTGCGGAGGCGATATCAGCTACAAAAAAGGGTGGCAATAAAAAAAATAAATGAATTGAAAAAAAAAAGTTAGGCAACAAAATATCAACTAATAACTTTTGTATACAAAACTCGAATATAATGTATTAAATTGTAATGTTCTCGTATTAAAAATATTAACTATACTTTAAAAAATATTTTCGCAATTCGAACATTCCAATAAAAAATATGGTTGCTGAATTATTCAATTGTTTTAAATTTATTAACTATTGTAACTATACATATTTGCCAAGGGTTCTAGATGGTTTTAATCCTTGGATTTTAAATAATACGGATATAATCTAATTATACATACATAATTTTTATACCTAATTATATATAGGTATAGTAATATTTTCATTAATCAAAAATTGATTCCATCCAACCCTATATTATTTTATGTTTATACTATACTTACAATTATCAATATACTTTAGCCAGACCCTTACGCAAAAATGTACTTTACAACGAGAGGGTGCTATTGGATAATTCGGTTATGATACATACATGATAAATCTACGTATATGTGTTTGTATCATGACTACATACGTATAAATATAGTTATTCAACGAATTTTATGAGGCTTTAGCGGACTAAGCTTTGCCATGTATTTAGCAAATTTCTGTATGGATTTTGAATAAAAATAATAATTATTACAGCAAACATACTTAAAGATAGAAGTTTAATTAATCTATTCTGCCTGTTTATTTACAAAGAGATATGTCTTTTTTTCAAAGGTCTAAGTCCATACACCATTTCTTGAAGATTTTGAATAAATTGATATCATACAAATTATTTACCTAACACAAAACTAAGAATAATTATGGTATATGAGTGTGTGGTTTCTCTCCGCACAGTAGCCATTCTATTCTGCATTGGACTGTTCCAAAGAGTGATTGTGCCAAGACGTCGGATTCCTCAGAACAAAAAAGATATAAAAGCTGCCTTAATAAAGAATTATATACATATGTAAGAAATTGTATATTCAAATCACAAAAATCTAACAATTTTACATATAAATAATATCAAATGTTACGTATTACATTCTGTTGTCATATCTAATGATCTACATCAGGACTGTCTAAAGTACGGCCGCATGTGGTCCGCGGCTAATGTTTGTGCGGCCTGCGACATTATTTTAATGTACTACAATTACGCAAATATTTTTTTAATGCACTGGTAAAACTACATTATTTTATTTTTATGGTATATGGTATCTTTATTTTTCTCCAAAACAACTATGAACGTATATATCTACGGCCCTCTAATCTGTACAGTGATTTGTATTGGCCAGCGATGGTGTCTAGTCTGGACAGCCGTGATCTACACGATAGATAGTAGAGTCAAATAGCAATAAAGTTACTTCTATTTCAGGCCGAGCAAACAAAATGTCACTTTAATAAAGCAAGCAAATGTCTTTTATGACTATATTGGTGATATTGGACAGACGTTGCAAGAAAGAAAATTCTGTGGCAAGAAATGCTTTGGGCATAAAAATTATTTCAAATTTTACGATATTGTTTGTCATACTATATTATTTTTTGGCCATTTATTCAAATCAGTTAGATTTAAAAAGACTCCAATGAAAATTGTTAATTTTATCAGAAATAACTTTTAAATAAAAGTATATCGTTTTTTGTTTTTACCCTCATTCGTACCTAAACAAAAGAACCAGTAAAAAAAATAGTAAAAAAAAAATTTGTGAAAAAATAAGAAAATACAACTCTCCAATAAAAATAAATAGGGGTATTCACTCTCTCTTGCAAACTCATTGCAAGGTGCAAAAAATGCACAGATCTTACAAGCATGCAATTGATAACAACAAAATACGTGCACAAAGTTTCATGCAATTTTGTGAAAATTATTTGCAATTTTCCTATACTACAACCTATGTATATTTGCTTGCAACAAAACAAAAATGCCAGAAAACAGCTGTTTTGACATTTATTGCTTCTCATTTTTAAATTTGAGTTTGGTAGCGAAAGGTAAGTTCGTTAAAATATACAAATTTTGGTTATTTAAAATTTTCTAATTATTTTCAGATAAGAATAGAAGACAGAGCACCAGCAACTAAAAAGAAAAGGTTGCAGCTCCAAATAATAGAATTTCTGCAGGAAAAATAGAATTTATATGTTATATGTTAATACCTTCAGTCAGAATATTAAAAGCATTATTTTCAATTAAAATATCTATATATTTTTGTATTTCACTTGTTCGCGGCATTGTTATATTTTTATTTTTCTTTGCTCAATCTGATACGGCTGCAAAAACAGCTGATTCATTTTGACGACGCAGCAGAGGTGTTTTCGTACTCTTGCAGTTTTTGTATAGCATTCTTCTATTTCGTGCTCCTTATATCGTATTGTATCTAAACAATCAGTAAGACATACTGATAAAAATCCTCATAAAAATAAGAAAATAAAATTCTCTATGTTTTCTATGTTTTTACCCGTATATCGTATCGCACCATAACAATCAGTTCAAAATAATAATAAAAATCTTAATTAAAAATAAGAAACGTTTTTTTTTTAAATATTTATAATTAAGTTTATTAAGTTCTTTCTTTCCATAATCATTAATCATTTTAATGTTTGGGATTGGTTTAAAGATTTATTAATTATTTTTTATTATTAATTATTAATTTTAATGTTTTTATTTAATTTTTTATAATAATTAAATTAAATTAAGGGACATACATTTACATACTAAAAACACTAACAACTACATTCATGTATTTATATATAATCGTAATTTCATATCTTTATAATGTATAGATTTTTAATTATGCATATTATAATATATATTCAATACATTCGTACATGTTTATTTTTATTTTTTTGTTATATATACCTATTATGTATATAGTTTTAAGTTAATAAAATTATAAGGATTTTTTTATGTATACAATCATTTTAATTTATTATAAATTAATTAAAAAATATTTTATTAGTTTTGTATACCAATTGTGTTTCCATGTTTCGTTTTATATTTATATTATGTATTTATGTTTTTTGAACAAGAAAACTTTTTCATTTTTAATTTTTATATTAAAAGTTAGCATTATATATATATTTTGTGTATTTAAATAACTGTGTCATCCACTTGTCATTTCAATTTGCAAAATGTATTCTATTGTTAATTTTCTTTTCGCTTATCCACCATAATTTAAAGAATTTTTTTAAATCACTTTAACCACTTTTTATAAGAGTTGGCATTTATTAACAACGTATTCAGTTAATAACTGCTTGTTTTTTTGTTTTTAAACTATCATTAATAATTTGGTTGTGTTTAATAATATATACCCATTTATTTATATCTGTATATATAAATTAACATTCGTAATACATACACTTTTTTAAATAGAATTGAGATAGTTTCAATTTTAAATATTTAAAATTTTTGTTTTAATCCTAAATATTTTTTTATTTAATAAAATTAAATCAAATTACGAACTAAAGTTAGTTGTAAATTTGCAAATTTGTAAAAGAGAAGATATTTTTTTTTTTATTAATTTTATTAATTTTTTAAATTTATGCAAAAATCCTCATTTAATTTTAAATTAACTTCTATGCAGTTTTAAATTATCTTAGCTTTAAATGTCATCAGCATCACCATTTATATTTTTTTAACATATTTATTTATAAATAATAAATTACACATACATAGTATATTAATATTAAAATAGTTAATATTTTTTACATACAAAGCCATTTTTTATAGATATCGGAAAAGAGTATATTCATATATAATATATATATTTCTTTAATTAAATACTTGAAATATATTTCTATTTTTTATATATCATTTATGTGCTTACTTACAATAATTTCTTAATATATTAATATTAAATTAAAAAAATTCTAAGTTACACAAAATTTCTTTCGTAATAGGCAATATAAATTAGTTAATACATATACTTTTTACATATACTTTGAAACTATGTATTTATAAATACATAAATATTATAGTTTAGTTACTACTTAATTAATATTTTTGTTAACTGTTATAAACACAGTTAATAGCAATGTTTTATTTTATATATAACACGTTGAAAAATTTTGTCAGCTATTATTTGTTTGCTTTTTACATATAAAAAGAAATTTTATAAGTTGCATTACTTTATATTTATAATTAAATTAAAAAATTCGTTCACGCATTATCAAATGTGCAAAAAACTATACATTAGTATTGATAATGAAAATATACAAAATGTTAAGTTATTAAATTTTTATAATAGCTAAATTATTACATATTTATACAAATAAAACAATCAATTTGCAGCTAAGTAATAATAATAATATTCACGTAAAAATATATAAAATAAATAAATCACATCTATAACAATACAACGTGAGTCGAAATAAATTAAAAAAAAAATAACGTGAGCTTAGTTAACACAATGTAAGATATAGACAATTCTACATTTAAATAAAAAAAATAATATGTATTGAATTTCTATATTAGCAGTACTAAACAGTTTGGTGCTTGTAAAAAAAGACAAATTTTAGTCTATTAAAAACATTGAAATTAGCTTTTAGAAAATTTGAAATATTCATTTTAACACACTGTGTTAACAAAGTCCTAATGTATTATAAATAAATATTTATTTTATAGAATTGACTTTGCACATTTCACTCTAAAAATTCAAATTTTTCTTATTACAAAACACATCATATCACCTATAAAAACTTACATAGTATTAACTAGCTTTAAGAAAAATATATACAATTTTTAAAGTACCAACTTTACAAATTTTATAAAATTGAAATATGCAGTGAAAGTGTAATAATATAAACCGTAAATATAAACATATAAAGCAATCTGCTAATATATATACATATGTTGAAATCAAAAAGGAAATGGTATTTGTATGTAAATATGCAATATTCGATCAATTTTTAATATCTGAGCATAAAGATTGGCCACAATGCTAAAAAAATGAAGAACGTGGTGGACTACTAAATTCAAATAATATTTGTCAAAGTAGCTCTCATTTGTTAAAGTTCCACTACTTAATATAGAACAGGGAATGAAATTAAACTGTTAACTATTGTTAAACGTTCAAAGTTATATAATTTTATAAATACAGAAATTAATGTAAAAATAATTTAATAAAATGAGTAACCCACAGAATAAATGAACAAAATAGTTTCATATACTTTACACATACTCGATTTTATATAATACAATTTTATATAAATAAAAATAGAAATAATTAAGAAAACGAACATTATAAGCAAAATAAAATAAGAATTATGTATTTTAAAAAGTATATAATAGAATTAAAATTGAAAAAAAAAACCAAAAATTAAAGAATAATAAAATATAAATAATATATACTATATAAATAATGAAATATATAGTATATGTAAAATACAAAATACAGAACTAAACAATAACGTTTGACAAAAATTTAACAAAATTGTATATTTTAAAAACAACATATATCTAAAACGTAATTTAGAAAACATATGCAATATATACTTCAAAAAATATATATAAATTAAAAAGGAAATAGAATTAAAAAAATACTGAAAATAATTGCAGAACATATAATTAAAAAAAATATTTATAATTTAAAAAACTGTATCATAGATAGATACAGAAAAATAGATAATTTTGAAAATAATTATAATTTAAATTAAAAAAATATATAATTGAAGAAATATATATAAATTAAAAAATATATAATATAAAAATGTATATATAATTTAAGAACATTTATTTATAATTAATATTTAAATATGAATAAAATTAATTAAGATATACAATTGAAAATTATATATAATTTAAAAAATATATCTAACTGAAAAAATTAAATAATTCAAAAAATGCGAAATTATAAATAAATCAAAAATTTATACAAAATTTGATAAATCGAAAAATATTTTATTTTGAAATTTTATTTTTCTAAAAATATGTAATTAAATTAAATTTGATAGATACATAAATTTGTAATTCACTTATAATTTAAATAATATATACTAATAAAAAATGTACTTTAACACCCTTAAAAATATTTAAAATTGATCATAACAAAAAGTTTAAAAAAAATTGATTTTTGAAAAATTTATTATATAAAATTTGAAATATATATAAAGTTCGCTTGAAAGTGTAATTTATAAGTACTTAAGTAATTTCTAATAATAAAACAGTAAATGGTAGCATATATGTAGCCATCAGTAAAACAATTCATTTTACCTAGAGATGCGTTAATTATAGTTTATAAAATATATTTAACTGTGCTATGGTTAAATAAAAAGGTATTGTGCAATGAAATAGCAATTTTTGGAAGTATAAAGAAAAAATAATACATCCCCAGTTTATATCTATTATGCGCATTTCACTAGTCATGTAGACAGAGTCTGTTATAACATTTTTGGTACTAACAATAGAGTTGTCCATTTTGAAAGGATCTAAACTTAAATATGCTCTCGAAGTTTAGGGAAATAATTAACCTATATTATTGCACTTTACATACACTACACTGTTTGAATTTGTTTGGTTATTTTTTAATAATAACACTTAATATATATATTTTTATTTAATAATTTACAGTTACAATTATATACTTGCTATTTTAAGTTACATTACATATTCCAGTTAAATTTTAAATGAGTTTCTTTTTTTGCTACTTTTTTTGATTTTTTGAATTAATTTTAGTTAATATTTTATAAACTGCTTAAAAATATAAAAAGTAAATATTTAAACATAATAAAGGAAAAATTTTAATAATAAATTTACATATACAATTTTATGCAATTAAACTGGTTTATTAAATAGTTTTACATATCTATATATATGCATACATATATATTACATATACATATGCATATATATCTATACTTAAAATCGTACATTTAATTGCATGCACATTATTACTTTAGAAATTATTTTTATATAAGCTTTTTTTATAAATTATTTCTGCTGATGCTTGGTTTTCGCTATTAATTATCAATTTCCATAAATATAAAATTTTAGCTATATAAGTGTATGAAATAAATTATAATATATGTGTGTATTTATAGTTGTATTATTGCATTTATGTTATATATTTATATTTTATAAAAAAAACCGTAGTTGTTTTTATTACTTCTTTTTTTTTGTATTTTAATAAATTTTTAGTAGTATGAGTTTCATAATTTTATACCTATTCAATTTAATATATTTTTTTTTTTAAATACGTTTAAGCAATTCTTATGTGTTTTTTTACAACTTATTTAATACATCATAATACGCATGACAAATAAATTTTATTTATTACTATTGCAGTTTAACATTTTGACATAATTTTTTACTAGTTTGCTTGTGTGCATAGTATTAGCAACAATTTCTTAAACACATATATTTTGTATTTATAAAAGTTTAATGCGACTACTATCTGATTAAAATGTTAGGGCGTTTTGTTTTGTGTTAAATTTATACAATTTCAATTCATACATACAATTTGTCAACATTCATTTACTAACACAATAAAAATTTTTTACTATTTTATTTATTTGTATTTTATAATTAATATGAATTTTAATATCTCGTTTGTTAAATATAAGTTTTACAGATAGCAAAAAGAATTTATTAAAATATTGCTTTAATTAAAAAAAAATATATATGTATATTCACAAATGTTATAATATTTTAAATACAATATTTATGTTTAATAATAAATGCTATCGAAATAATAAATGTAAACAGTTGTTTTTAACAGTCAACTTTCAAAGTATGTGTTGGTATTATCTTGATTTTTGTATTCAGATTGTATTCGGATTCTATTTACGTTATAAAACAAATGAAGAAATCTTTTAAGTTTGAGTTATTCAGTCGAAAGAAAATTGTTTAATTTTACAAGAATACCGAAATACATTTAACATTTGCGTTTGACTTATATTTTATTATAATTTTGTACACAAATATAATGAAATCTTATATTCTTATTGATGAATTATATCTAATATTTCTTTTCATAAATTTAATCACATACTAATCGCATTTTTATCTTATATAATCATATTTATTAATTTAAAATAAAAATTTAGACTGTTTTAAGTTTTCCTTCATATTTACAAAATGTACTACTTTAGCCTTCTGTCTAGATATAGTTGCAAGGAGTGTTTATGTGTTTATCATGTTTTGTTTATAATTACAATAGGAATATATATGTATTTGCTTCTACTTGCTGTATTCATCTTTTGGTAATGTACAAATTTTACATCTACTGTAAAAGTATGTTTCTGTACTAGTTAGAAAATTCTAGTATACGTGTTATAAAATTATTGAAATACATAAGTGCAGATTTGATAACAGTTATATTCAAACTTCACACACCATTTTAAAGTTTTATTTTTTTATTTAGACTAGTTAATTATATAAATTGTGTACCTTATTTTATAGTCTAATTAAAAACAAACTCCTGATGTGCTTCCAAACAATGAAGTTTGAGGAATGCCCAACATTTTTTAATCGTTTAAATCTGTACCATTTTGTGTAGTAGAAATTTATTGTTCATTTAGTTCGTCTCTCGATGTTGTCCCCAATAATATGTTGTATCAGTTGTCGTTGTTGGGACTGCTGTAGTTGTCAACGGCAACATTGTATACTACGCAACCGCGGCGGTCGTTGTGGCAGGTGGTGCTGTGGGTGTTGGTGGTGCAGGAGTTGTTGGCGCTGCTGCAACTGCTGTCGTTGCAGTAATACTATTGTTGCTGCTATTACTACTGTTACTACTGTTACTGCTAGTATTATGTAAGCTTATGTTGCTATTATTAAGATTTGCTGTTGTACTTAAAATGTTTTTATTATTACCAGCAGTTAGCAATTGGTCTTTATTTGTTGCATTTGTCGTAACAGTGCTTGATAATATTGCTGGCGTACTTATTGTTGATTCGCCAATATTGTTTGTGTGTCGGCTGCTTGTACTACTGTTGCTCATATTACTGTGACTGCTCGCCGCAGTACTGCAACTATTGCTGTTTGTACTGCTATTGCTAACATCGTTAAATGCTGCCGCTGGCGTCAATTGATTACTACTATTACTATTTTCATCATGTGTTGCGTTTGTTGGTTTATTACTGCTTGCAGTAGTGCTACTGTTATTTGTTACTGTTGGTGTACTAATATTGGAGTTCGATATATGTTGTGCATCATTTTCTGTTTTTAATTCGAATTTTAAATCGGAACTAACAGCTTTACGTTCACCATTTTGCTGTCGTTGCTGTAGGCGATATTCCATTGATGGCATTGGACCAGCACCTCGTGACACTTGAAACAGCACACGTGATATAATGAGTGCGACTTGTTGATCGAGAATATGTGACATAACAAGCCCTAATAAACGTTGTTCTTGTTGCATAAACAGCAGTCGATTATCTGGATGTTTTGCTAAATGCAATAGTGTGCCAGCTGCACGACGTAGCATGTCTAGACTTGTACCCATTGAATCTGGATTTTCTCGCAAATAATTTATACCATGCTGATTTGCTACTCCAAGCGCTGTTTGTTCAGCTTGCTCAATAAATGCTACTAAATATGAAATACAAGGTGATTGCAAAGCTACTGTCCGCGCCATTGCACTATCAGCTGCCGCCAAATAATGTAGCAAATTAACAGAGAACTCCCGCAATACTTGATCTTCATTTCGACATAAATGTCTTGTTAACACAGCACATAATTTTTCTAACCGTGAATGAGGTGGCGTCGCTATAACCAAATCCACATTAGCATCAGTTACGCATAATTTGCATAGTGCTTCCAAAGCCAACCTTTGAGGTGAAAGTGCTGAACTGGGTCCACAAGATGGAAATGGATCTTGACCGTGCGCACTAGGACATACTGCCCAATGAAGTAAACCATCTATAAGTGGTCTTGCAATAATTTCTTCGTAACGCGATAGTTCTAGATGTCCAGCTATATTTGCCATCGCTACTAGCATATTTTCTCGTATACTAATTAAATAATCCCACCACCATTCACGTTCACCTTGTAGTGAACTGCAAGAATCTGAAAAATCAGTGTCTTCTTCACGATCATAGTTGCGGGTTTTAGGAGTTCGTTGCAGGTGTTCATGATTTAGTAAGAGTAAACGTCCGAGCACAGCTAGAAAACGTGTTGACTTAGCTAGTAAAGCCTCGTTGCCGGGTACAAAAGTTAAATTACGAAAGATATTTGATAAACAAATACACCGCCTTGCTAATGAATCCTGACTTTCATTTACAAGATATAGACTGGCTTCATCACGTGTATAACATTCATCCTCATAGGTTGAATCTCTCCTTCGTTGTTCTAAAGAAGCAGCCTCTCGCATATTAGATTTGTTAAAATTTTTATTTAAATTATTTGCTCCATTAGAAAGTCGTGCTGCTTCCAATTCCATGTCAATCTCACGACAATCACTATCTGAAGCTGATGTTGATGCAGTAGTATCAAGATCTGAGTGTTCCTTTTTAATATCTGGTTGTGCAAAATCCAAATTGGTTGAATTAAATTTAGATCTTTTGGCGTTACTACCTTCACCAATATTTTTTGCATTTATGTTGGCATTTTTATTATTTGTGCTATTGTAAAATCTTCGTTTTTTATAGAACTTTTTAAGCAGTCTGCTGTCTTCATCATCCCCATTATCTATTTGCATATCGTTATTGTTGCAGCTTCCTACTAATTCATCCTTTCCAGTCTTCTGCTCGTCATCAGTACTATTTTGTTGTTTATTGCGTATGTACCGTGCAAATGGAATGTCTATAATTTCCGATTTGAAAACGTCTATTACCCCATCATATGGGTCTCTTTCTGTTACACCGTATGTCCAAGCACTGCTCCCTATCGGTGCTGTCAGTTCATATAATTTATCGCTATCTATATCCCATAACTTAAGTTCATCAGTCACGAATATATCATCGTCAGCAGGTGTTATTCTTACTGGCAAACCTTTTCTTGAAACTAAAGTATAATTGGGAGTGTTTGAGAATATCATAATGCGTTCTTCAGGATTTGGTGCTTGATATATTTGACCAAGATCGATTCCTTCATCCTCGTCCAAAATATTATCTATAATATCTGGATTAGTTTCTGTCTCTTTAATGTCATTATTTTCATAATGTCGTCTACGGTTATAACTACAGATGCTACGTACACAACGAGGATTGGTTTCTGTCTCATCACCTTCATCAAACATCTCAGCGAGATTCTTTTGGAAGTGTGTTAAAAGCAGCGGTAACAAGCCTGGCAAATGCGATAAACCAAAATATTGCACTGTTGTGTCATCGTACAATAACACATTAAGCACATCTAGAGCCCAAGTGCACTCTGTTAGCAATCCAGAGCGCATTGCCATAAATATACGCCATGGATCGATTGGACAAACTTCAGCCTTATTTAAACGTTTACGTCGATAAAGCACAGGTGAGGTAGCTTCAACACTATCTGGCGGGAATATAATTTCTTTCTTTTGTAAAGGTATACCAGCTGGTTGTGGGAAGGGTGCTGCGTTTTGTTGCGCTATAGGACCACCTAATTGTGTTGGTGTACCAGTAGGTTTTTGAGCACTCAATGCATTTAACGGGGCATTTGCAGGACCAGTAGGTACTGGTGGACCGCAAGGTGCACCAGAACTACTCGTTTGAGGCGGAGGCATAGAGAATTGTGGCTTTGTCATGTTACTAGGCATATTTTGACCTGGAACTGGGCCAGTTGCATTTTGTTGTTGAGGAGGCATCCCAGGACGTTGTTGTTGCTGCGCACCAGGTGGTCGTTGCGGAGTTCCAGCCGTACCTCCAACTTGCGGTGGTTGTGTAGAAGCCATTTGCGCCCATTGTGAAGGTTGTGGTGGCTGTTGCTGAGTTTGCGGCTGAGCGTATTGAGGTTGCTGTTGAGGTGGTGGTGCTTGCTGTGGTGGATAACGATGTTGTTCCCATTGTGCAGCAGCAGAAGCTTGCTGGTTAGGTGGACCAAGCGGCCCAGCTGTAGGCGCAGCTGATCGTGGTGGTGCGCCACCCCAAGATTGCGGTGTTGGTGAAGAAGGATATTGATTACGATACTGATTTGAACCTGCTTGCCAGCCACCTAATGATATTTGTTTTATACAATTAAAACATAAACAAAATTTTGTATTAATATATCATACCATAAATTTGCGGTCTTGTGTTGTAACCTGAATAGGGCTGTGTATCCTTAACAAAATCGGGATGTCGACGTGGTTGTTGAGTCTAAATTATGGAATAAAATCAATATTAAAGATTTTATATATGTATGGTTATATTATCAATTTACTTGATCTGGTGGCCTATAGTAATCTTGTTGTGTGGGTGCACCTGGTGGATATGCACCACCTGGTGTAGCAGGACCACTTGCAGGCGGTCCACCTACTGCATTTGGTGCATTGGCAACAACTGGTGGTGTAGTTGTTGGAGCACTACCTTGTGGTTGTTGATTATATGGACGATTGCCATATGGACCGTACTGATTTGCTCCTGGAGGCGGCCTATAACAAGAATTTTTTATACAATTTTTTATAATTTAATCATAATTTATTTAATAAGAACCGCTTTTTTAGCGTATGAAAGTAATTTGAAACAAAAACTATACAAGTATAAAAACTCAATCTAACAATAACACAAAGACAATGAGAGAGTAGAAAAGGCACTCACGCTTCCCCCTCTGGACCATAAGGAGGGTACATATTGCGATTCTGCGGCGGAAATTGTGGTTGATTCTGTCCAAATTGGCCAGGTGGTCCAGTTGCATTATATTGATCGCCCGAATTGTATTGTCCGTATGCACCAGGTTGACCAGGATAAGGAGAGCCTGAAAGAGTTAATATTTAATTTAATTAATTTAAAACGAAAACCATAAGATAAACGCAAATATAAATACAATTGAATATATGATTTTAGGAATTTTACATTATTAATATTAATAATGAATCAAAAAATGCCATATATGAAACTGAAAAACCATGCAAAAAGCATATAAAATACAAATCTTCTTACAGCTTAATAAAAATGATACACTTTAAGTTAAAAATCAGTTATTTGTGAAGCTTGTGTGTTTTTTTAAAATTAATGTATGAATTGTAATAATTTTTATTATTTTATTATTATAGTAGTTAATTTCAGAATTTAAATAAAATTTTAGAAGAAAATATTACTTTGTTTTAGAAAATTCGAATAAAAATAATTTACTACAGATATTTTTCTCCATTTGAAATCATTATGAGAGTCGGCTACAGATACAATTCCTACAATATAGCAATATATCAAATATAAACAGTTGCGGAATGGGAGAACTTAATAGAACTTAAATTCATTTGAAAAAAATCATAAAATTATATTTAATCCAAACAATAAACTCAGACATTTTCACAAAATAAAAAGTTTAAAATTACCAATGTACACAAATAAAAACACAAATGTTTTACAGAGCACAAAAAAAAATTGAGAAAATAAACAAAAAATATCATTAATACATAATGCATTAATATGCAGTTTTTAACATAAATAAAAAAAAAAATGAAAATAAAATAATAATACCTGACGTTCTAGACACCGGTGGATATGTACTACCCTGTTGAAAGGGCGGTGCACGTGGTGTTGCACCTACCGGGTCATCAAATGGATTATTCACACTAACATTATCACCGGCTGTAGTTTGAGAATTGCCTATTATCGTTATCGTGACAGTGATAGTTAAAAGGTGATTTATACATATTGTTATGTGCATATTTGATGTTGATGTGCAAAATGATGATTGATATTTGTGGTGACGATTGCAGTTATTATAATGATGAATAAAAATTAAAAAATCAAATATTATTAAACAAAAAATATCTTTAAAAATTATTAACCATACACCATCATTAAAACTTCTAATAAACATGCTGAAATTAATGTTAATTTTTTTAAAAAAGCGAGTTAAATAATATCAAATTATTATATTATATAATTTTATGCATTTATATAATCAACAATTTTGTATCAAATTATTAAATGTAATTGTCAAAATTTATGTTAAAATGAAAACCAAAACTAAAAAATAAAATAATATAATACAATATTACAATTTTGAAAAACTATTAAATATAAATTCTAAAATTTAAATTTAAAAAAATGTTTAATTGTATAAAATATATAATATAACCTTTTTGCAATATACAATTTAATTAATAATTAGATTACTTATTACATTATAATGATGACAACATTTTAGATTTAATGATTAGTCGAATTATATTACTAATAACAAATAAATTAATATGCAAATTGTATATAAAATAATTCTTTCTACTTAATTATATATATTAAAAAAAAATTCTTTCCAATGTGAAAATAAAAATTATGTTTTTAGTAAATTTTTTAACAAATTATAACTGTATTAGCAAATTAAAAATAAAAATTTAAAATTAATGAATTATGATTTCATTTTGTTTTTTTTTTTTACAATGCCAAAATGATTTCTAAAAGTTAAGCAACGACTATCACCCCGTAGTCCTTTTAAGAGTTGTACATACTTGCATGTGGCGCTTGTGCGTTACTTTGGGAGGGTGGCCTTTGCATTTGACCACCAGCACTATAATCTGGTTGGGGCCCACCACCAGGATATCCACCCGGGTAGCCAGGATAGCCATCTATATTAGTATTTGGAGCTCCACCAGGCGCTGGGAATGCATCTTGTGAATTTGAAGAGCCTGCTGGCGTATTTGGTGTATTTATAGCATCCAAAATACCACCACCGATTGTTCGTAATGTAATTATTTATATGAAATGAGATGAATTATGTAAAAATTATTATTTAAATATATGTTTCGGTGGATTAAACAAGTTAATAAATAAACTTATTTTTAATTTTAATAAAATTATATAAAATCAATACTTATTTTAACTAAGTATTGATTTTAACTACGAAACATTACTAAATAACTTTTTTATTAACAAAATAAGCCACAATTAATTGTAAACTTAAATTAAAGGCCACTGCACTGAAATGTGATATGACAGCATCCAATAGGTTTAGTATTATTTATATTTTATCAAAAAGAGTAAAATTGATTACTATAAAATAAGAATATGGGATGTTATTGCAAGTTTTTAAAAACTTTTGGATTAAGTTTTTAAAAATTTAGTTTATGTAAAGTTAAAAAAATGTTAGTTTATATATTTCAACCTTTCATGTCCAACGTTGCTTATAGACAACATTAGCCATTAAATGTAACAAAAAACAAAAGGGAAATTGATTTGTTTTTAATGTTAATTGTAAAAAGGCTATTCTATTCTAATAAAGAGCAAACCAGGATACATATCATTTCTAAATTTATATCAGATATTAATTATTTGTATATAATAATAACGTTTATGAAATTACATATTTTTAAGCGCTCCGATTTCAATTTATGCATGAAACGGTTAAATAAATATATTTATATTTATAAAAATTAATTTATAATCTTAAATTGTTTCAATTTTTTCCACATTGCAAATTTTAAACAAATATCAATGGACTAGTAATCAATATTTCATTGTTTTGTAAAAAAATACTTTTGAATGCACGTTATCAAAATATGTATTATATATAAATATATTATATATTAATGTATAAATTTATAAATATATCAATATATATTATATTATTTATATATATATTTAAATTAATAATTAACTTTACAAACAACTGTATAAATTGACAAAATTACGCATATGGTTTTATTTTTTTTATATTTTGTAATATTGTATCTAAACTATATTATGCTATCATAGTAGTTATAATTACCTGGCGATGGTACTGAAACGGGTTTCGTTGTTTTCTTTTTGGTGCCAGCTTCTACTTGTTGTATTATTGGCAAAGGATCAATATCACCACGATCAAAGTGACATTCGAAAGCAAGTAAATTTTTTGTGTAATGTTTACGAAGCGTATAGGCTGCACTACTACTAGCACCGATACCCAGTAATCCAGCGATATCTTTCCATGTTTTACTTTTGGTTACCTTTTTTGTTTATTGGTACATTTTTGATGGTATAATTTTTATTTGAAAAAAGATAAAATTTATATTGTTAGGATATTTTAGTTAAAATACATAAATTCCATATAAAAAATGACAGCAATAAATTGCAAGCAAACAATGATTATCAAAATGTATTGAAAAAAATTGTTTGTATAATATTATTTAAGACGAATGTATAAATCGTTTCTATTAATATATATCTATTAATATTGCTATAACTTAAAATATGATTTAATTGTATTTTTATAGTTCTAAGTATCTATTCAAATAGGTTAACTGCGATTACAGCATATAATCTCATAGCGTTGATGAACACATAATTATTTCAACTTCATAAGTATAAAAGGTATACAATTTTATAAACAATCAGATTGAATAAATAAACTCAAGGCTATTTTTCAAAAAACAAAACGTGTTCTTAACGCCTAATTAGTGAAATATAAGATAGGATAATGTAATAGCTAATATCAATACAAATAAACACATATTATGTTTGCCTTTTTCAAGTGGAAAGTCACAAAAAATGGGCTTATATAAGATAAATCCTCATTATATACTCCCACATATTCTTACTTTATATTCAGGCGTTTTTAACATATTTGTTTTCTATATTACTATTCAAATTTTAATTTGCTTTCTTCTTATTTAATTAAGTTTCCTATCTACTAATAGATCCCAAGGTATTGATGATGTTTTAAAATATGTATCTAACTACTATTGTAAATAGTACCGGCACATACACTTTTATCATACTAAACTGGCTTATTAATTATTTAATTTCAAAATAAAAAAAGATCAATTATTAGGTGATTACATCATTAATGTCTTATGTAGTAACTTTAAGGATGATAAATAAGATTAAAGAACGAATTAAGACTTTACATAATATACATGATAACTTAAGAGACTATATTGTCTAAATTAATTCCCTCACTTTTATTCAACATACTAAATGAAATAGGTATTCATTCCATGGTTCTAATTTAGCAGCTTTGTGCCGCTATATGTGATGGCAGATACTCATCCAAAATATTTTTATTTAGCATAAAGTTTCTTATTTTACAACATGTATCCTCTACCAATATCGCTATACGTGTTAAAATTAAGAAAAATTATTTCATACGTCGATTCTATTGAAAATCTTTTTAAATTTTCTTTAATAGATATGTCAACAAAATTGTTGCATTTGGGGGTAGTGAAAATCCACAAATTGAAATTAAAAGTCCATTGCATTGAAAAAAACACCACTGTACTATATACTGCTGCATGTGGTCTAGAGATATGAAGGGTCCGTAATTTTTTGCAGATAACGATAGAATGTCACAAACCGTCTGATCGGCACTATCAAATTAAAACAAATTTTTGTTTAGGCGTGAAATGTAAAATATAGTTGTGAAATATATGTAGTCTTAATATTCTTGATTTATCTTTGTTAAGAATGTCCCAGATATGTAATTTGGTGATGAGCAGTAATCATCTAAATAAGTACCAACAAGTCATCCAAAAGTACCTCAAAAAGATTTAGTACTGCAAGTTATATTGTTGAGACTATTTGAATAACTTTGTATTTAACATCTAATAATAATAAGATTCCAACAATATATTAAACTAAAAATTAAGTTGAAATCTCAATAACATATGTGATACTTCATTTACTTTTACTTTCACAACATATTAGTAATATGAAAAAACTAAAAAATACAAATTAGCTGCGGAAGGAATTTCATTTAGTTATCATAAGAATTAGCTTAGTTTAAATTTCTTTCTTCAGCTTATCTAATTTTTTTAACATTGCGTTATTTTACCAACGAATAAATACATTCTTCTTAAATTTCAATTATAAAAATTTTTTATATAAATTATAATACATAATTATGAAAATGTTTGCATATGTTTTGTTAGTAATGTTAAATATTATTGAAAAATAAATATATAAAATAAAACATACAATTTTAACTACTTACGATCTATATAATAATATAAAAAATCACTACTTTGGACTTAAGGAAAGGATAATACTACTTGATTGACTGAGGGATATGGGTTTACATTTACATTTTACCAAACCAATGTAAAATTTGAACAAAAATTTCAAAATTTTTGCATTCGAATTATTTTAATTTTTTAAATTGATGATAAATATTTAATAAAAAAATTCAACACACACTCAAATATTCAAAAAATTAAAAACAAAACATTGACTAACATAACATGCAGAAAATTGTCATGTGTAAATGAAGAAAAAAGTTTAGTTAGTAATTCTTGCATAATTAAAATTCATTCATTGCACGAAATGCAAAAAAAAAAATATTTAAAATTCGAATGGAATTTTTTAAATTATTAATAATATTAAATTATTATTTTTAGAATGAAACTATATTAGGATGAAAAACTATGCATTCGGTAGTTGTACTATTGGTTGGTTTTTGTTGTGGTGGTTTTTTTTTGTTTTTTTTTTTTAAGTTGGTTTTTATTAATTTAGTAGTTTTGCTAGTAAATCTAAAAAGAAGTTAGTAAAAGGAATTACTACGGCACCTTGCATACCTCGACGAATCCTCCACGTTCTTTTACATAAATATATAACCTATATAAGTCAAGTGGTTGTTTTGATATAGTCGGACAGGCGGTAATTGGTGTTCGACGATCTTCCATGAATGCACGCAATTTATCTAACCAACCACGTCGTTCAGGATTTTCGTCCATTTCATATAGTTTACAGAGACTATCAGATTTTTTATTGGACGAACGAAAAGTTTCTTGTGGAGGAACATGGCTATTAAAAACCTATAAAAAAATGCAATAATTATATTATTATTATATTATTATTGTAATAATGATATTTCAATAACTTACCGGACTAGCTGGTGGTCGCGTCCAATTTGGTGGAGAACTCATCTCATATTCTTCCCCTGGAGCACCTGGATGACCAGGATGACCACCAGGTGATGTACTTGGCGGTATTAAATGACTTTGGCTATATGGATCCGTTTTTCGGGATTTGGGTGTTGTACATTGTGGATCCTCACCAGACGCTTTGTAAAAAAATATATGATTTAATATATTTGCTATATACATACACTTATTGCTATAGTTGGACAATTATTAATAAATTATATAAAAACTTCAAATTTTTAGAACATATATGTATGTATAAAGTTACACATCAAAATAAAAAATACAACAATAAAGTATTAAGTTATTAAACCGATTATAAAATTTCTCATGTGAAAAAAAGTAATACAATCACATAAATAATAAAAAATAAAAATAATTAACAATATTAATTATAAATAACTTTATATATTGATAACTAATATTAAATTTAATAACAATTTTAAATTTTCAATACACTTAGGCTATGGCATATTTAATTAAATATGTTAGTAAAAAATAATTGTAATACATATTATATATAAACAAAAATTCATAAAAATACTTTTTAATAAAGTCATACACAACACAATTTAGACATTCATATAAATAAACATTGAAATATATAAATTAAGCATATGATAGTTTAAAGTTTTAACATTTGACCCATATACACATATATATTCCGATTTTATTTATGTATTAATATGATAGTTTTGTATATTAAATTATACATAATTATATAATATAAATATATTATATATTGCATAATACAAATTAATTATCTAGACTCACATACATATTCATACATATACATCTTTCAATTTTAATTGATATATAATAATATATAATTATATAAAATAATATATAAATATATATATAAATAATATATAAATATATATATAAATAATATATAAATATATATATAAATAAATTTAAATTTACAAATAAATATATATATAACATAGATATAATTTCATAATATATAAATATTAAAATTATATAACGTTTAATTAAAATTAATATATCTATTTATAATTATATACCAATTAATATTAATATAATATATATGTATATACTTATATTATTATATAATGAAATAAATAATAAATAAATCTGAATAACTTTTATTCTTTAATAATTTTTCAGATACTAAATGTTGTGTAATTACCTGCTGAAGCATTCGATAGTGTGCTTTGCTGACTAACTTCATCCATCGGCGTGCCATCTGGTCCAGTTGTTACAACAGATGTTACTGGATGCGGTCCTGATGCTGTTGATCCTGATGAGCTTATACCATTATCTTGCGATATATGTTCGGAATTGCTACCATCAACGCCAGGAGGTACACCTCCAACCATTGGTTGTGGAGGTGTACTAGTTGGAGGTCCCATATTTGTAGGACCATGAGGAGGTCCCACATGGTGTGGTGGACCCATTGGCATACCGGGATGCACGCCGGGACCATTACCATATCCCTGTTGTGGAGTAGGACTGTTACCATAACCACCTTTGTGCTGCAAATGTTGTTTAAGATAATTTAATGGTCTAGGTGAGCCACCACCCTGAGGACCAACTGGTGGTGGTGTACCTTTGCCCTGCACATGATTGCCCATATTACTGGCGCCAGCACCACTGCCTGGACCACCAGGTGCACTTTGCGGTGAGGGTGGCATCCAATTTTGATAAGGTGGATATTGTGCATGCGGACCGCCACTACTATGGTTTGGCATAGGTCGACCAGGATATTGTTGCGGACCACCAAGTGGCATACTATTGGCAGATGTTGGCTGATTAGTTTGTGGGGGTGCGGGGACATAACTGTTTGGCGGATATTGCGGTCGTGGCGGGTAATTGCCTAAATTAGATTCGGAATCTTTATTTAATTACAAACGTATTTACCAATTAAGCATACTACCTTGCGTATACTGCTGTGTTTGTTGAGGTGGTGGATAACCAGTAGGCATGCCTTGTGGGCCTGGACCAGATGTTTGCCCACTACCTGGAACTGGCAAAGGACCACCTAACTTATAACCACCATGCATATGTGGTGGTGGAGGGTACACCCCTGCACCAGGTCCACTTTGAGGTGATGGTGTGGGCATATTATTCACCGTTTGATTAGGCGGTGGTTGTTGTCCATTGTTAGAACCTGTTGAGCCTGACTGTAGCTGTTGTGGTGAATTACTCGCCGATGACGATGAATTCTGTCCGCCTATTGCGTTTTGTTGTTGAGATTGCGATGTTGGCGCCGCCACCTGCTGTTGTGGTCCACTGGCGCTTTGCGACATATGAGGGAGAGGTGGTGGCGGTCCAGCGCTACCAGGTTGTTGCATGGGACCACTACTTGATTGATTGCTCGATGGACGTGATATGGGATGATTTTGAGCTAAAGAAGTACAATTCACTACTATTAGCATTTGTATGCACAAATATATATGTACGTATGTTTGTATTAAGTATTAGTTAATTTTCATTACTTACCTACTGCCGGTGACATGGAACGTGAACCCGATGAGCCTGTTGGTGAGGGCGTTGGCCGCATTACCTGTTGAGGGTTTGGTGTACCCGGTGGACCTGAGCCCATGCCGCTGTGAGCGCCTCCGCTAGAACTGTCATTACTATTTTGCCCAATCAACTCCTAAAAGCAAAAACAAAAAACAAACAAACACATTTAATATTTCAATTCCACTCATTTCAACATATTTTTAATGAATGTATGGATAAAAAATAAAGTACTGTAAACAAAAAAGATTCCATACTTTATACATATTTTGAAAATGTTCCCAAGGCAGTCGGTTTTTCGCTGTGTTGTTTGTTAATTTTTTATTCGATTTTTTATATTTCACTTTTTTAGTGTATGCCTTTTTTTTTAAATCCATCCTTTAACTTTTATTAATTTAACGTTTTTGTACAGAATTTTAAATATTCTGATAAAACACGAATTTTATTATGTGTCAATTCTTCGCTTTTTTTAAGTGACAATCGCATTCATTTTTTATTCCATTTTCTACTGTCATGAGCTTTAAAACGACAACAAGAGAAAAATGTCTGAATTGATTTCGTTTCACGTAATTGTGTGTTGGTGTTATACACACACAAGCATGCATGTGTATTTGTGAGCTAGCATATATAAAATAGTGTCCGGTAAATGAAAGCTATTTTATACTTACAGGGTGTATATAAATTTATGGATTTTTAATTAGAATTAGAAGAGGAAATGACATGTGCACAGACTATGAAGTTTTTACGTTTTGAGGGTAAAAACGTAAATTTACTTTAATGTGTTTTATGATAAAACCGTTAGATATGTCAGAGAACAGTTTACAGTGTTGTAACTATTTTTATTTAACATTTTTTTATCTTATAATTATAATTATTTTATATTAATATTATAAAATAAAATTAATATTACATTTTTAATAACTAATGTTTATTTTTCTTATATATATGTTATTATAACCAACTTTTGAATATAATCTAGGATTAAGTAAAATTTTATTTATTAAATTTAGTTTTGCTCATTGAATCGCTTTTCGATATTTTAAATTCCATTTACGGCATGAAAACTGTTTCCGGATTACATAATTTTTACTTATTGTTCGCAATTCTAAGTTTTTTCTTTTAAGTATCTGTTAATACAGCTTCCTTTTTTCTCCGATTTCATTGTCAATTGATTATATTAGATTAAACGTGAATTTTGAATTAGGTATTTACGAAAAGAATGTAAATTTATAATCTGAAGATCCATTATCTCAATGACCAAGCCACATCGACATATAACTAAGTGAAAAACTTGCGCAAAATAGCAAATTTATAATCGTGAACTATTTAAAATTGTTTTTATAGCAATCAACTGTCAAAATGGCGGTAACCATTTGTTAACCCCATATCTAACTTATAGGATTGCATACTGCAATTACTAAACGTAATAGTTCATTTGAGTGTTACAAGCAAACTACATAACTGATAGGGGTAAAATCATTATAACAATCATGTCAACTTTAAAAATTTTCAATCATATCATGTCAACTTTCAATTTTTTAATACAATGAAACAATTTATCTATTATCGTTAAAGAGCTATGAAAATAGGTTTTGAAAAGTCAGTATATAAAATAAAAATAAATATTTTAAAGTAAGATATAACTTATATAAGTAACAACACTTTAAAACTTGCATTGACTTTATATAATAATAAATATCATTACTTTTTGAATAGATGGATAGTTTTGATTTATTATAGGACGTGTGCGAGTTAGACTACGTTGATGATAAACCAAATGGGAGATTTTTTGGGATGTTTTGCATTGCACACATTTAGCCATTTATCAACACGTATCGACACATCACTACATTATCGGCACATCTTCCGTTCTATACAAAATGGAAATACAACCCCGCGTTTTAATTGTAATAAATCTATTATAATAATCCAACTGTAACAACAATTGTACTGTGTTTACCACGATTCATGTCATAACAAATGTTATTTATTTTAATAAATGGTAGTTATTATGATATAGTTTTCAGCTTAAAGATAATTAAACAAAAATGTACACATAACAAAATCAATCTGAGTAACATTTTCCACTACGACGACTAAACACAAAAAGTTACCCTACTTATGAACATATATTAACAATATATACTTGTATTTCTATATTATTTATTATTCTATATTACATAGTATTACTATATATATATATATATGTATAATTTAAATATACTACACATAATTTAACAATGAATATAATAGTACTACTTTCAATAATATAATATAATCATTAACATTAAATTTTGCGAAAAGAATTATTATTATACATAATGCCTGGTTCACACCGCAAATTTACATGCAAAATAATCACACGCATATAATTCAGATATAATTCAAACGTATGTTAACTTTGTGAACCAGTATAAAAATAAAATTAATTATAATTATTATTAACTTAAATCTTATGCCCTAATTTTATATGTAATATAAAAGAGTTATAAATATTTTTAATGCGAAAATATTCACCAAGATTACAAAAAAAAAATACGATTTACAACACTGAATTTAATTTCTAAAGAACTTTCACATAAGCTCTAGCAGACTAAAATTCCAAACAAAAAAATTTATTTATAATCAGTTATTTTTTAAAAATACAGCATAAAATTACTAGTTAATATACTATATACATACATATCTATATCAATTTTGTATTTTACACATTATATGTACGTTTTATGCCCTGAGTGTCATACCCTTTATCACTAAGTCTAAAATTATTTTCATTATCGCATTTCTCTTCAATTTTGCTTGTATCGCATTGAAGAATTGCAAGCAGAAGTAAAAAAAAAACAATAAAAAATAATTATTAAAAATATTTGTTTCTTTCTAACAAACTAATATTAAATCTACTGGGCTTTAAAAAAGCGCACACATGTGTTTATGTGTACGTATATTGAAGAATATGATAAGAAAACAATAAAACAACGAAAACTGCGGCAACAACAAAAACGCTTAAAATAATACAAGCAAGAACTCTCATATTTATAATGATTATGTTATATGTTACAGTATTTCAATGGTTTAAAATATTAATAGTTATCTTGAACAAAATTAAAAAAGCAAAAACTTGCCGGCCGGTATTTTAATAAAATAAATATGCAAAAATAGATATTGATATTAAAAACCGCCCATAGTACAATACCATAGTTACACACACTCGCATATAAAATTAATGAAAACGTAAAATGGCGGCATAATTAGTATTTTGTCATTTATTTTTATTATTAGTCGTCTTTGGCTTAACGTAATAAAATAACTGCTTTAGTTTGTTTTTTGAGTAAACATATATATGAGTAAAAAGAAACTCAAAAGCAAAATGTAAATAATGACAAAAAAAAAATATTTACATCAGCTGTTTAATATCAAACACAGAAAGTGGATAACAAAAATCTAAGATATTAAATTAAAAAAAAAGTCAATAAATGTTATAATATATAAAAAGAATATTAAACAAAGCAATTAAGTTACATATAAATGTAATATTATATAAATATTTTGGGTTTAACAGTTATTAATTTTTTAACAATAGTTCATGTTCAATTAATGTTTTAATAATATTATGGAATATATCTATTTTTAGACATATTAACGTAACGTCTATTAACGTTACATTTTTTTAACTACAGCATATAGATAAAGTTTTGTGTGTATAACAATAAATTTTTAACCAACCAAATGGGGATGTAAAACAATTATTCATACTGATTAACTTTAAAAATAACCAATAAAAGTTTGCCTACAAGACAAAATACATTTGTGTATCCATTACGTACTAACTAAAATAGATAGTACACTTTCAAACAGTAGTGTCTATAACAAATAACTCTACAAATTTAATATGTCCAACAAATTGCATGAAATAAACAAAGCTATGTGGTAGCTCATCACACAAACCGTTAATGATAGTAAATCCAAAAATAAAAATTATTAATATATTAAATTATTTTTTATTGTACTAACATCATATATAAGCTATAAATATGACCATACGAAAATTAGTTTTATAAATATATAGACTCATTATTAATTAACCAACATTACGTATGAGTAATATCGAATCGGAAAGTTAAAAATAACTAAAATTGTGCAACAACAGAAGTACATAATATACTGCAATAAACAATAAATATTTATGCAAACTGGCACTACATGTGCTGAGTTCAGCTACGGAGAATAAAATGTGTGTGTGACATAGCTTAAAAACATTATTATATGACAGCAGTGAATTTAAGGAGTGTGCGGAGAGTTAAGCTGAATTCGTAAGTATATAAAATATGGGAATGTGGTTAATGACAATCAAAAAAACAAAAAAAAAAAAATATAAGAAAACAACTGTTCAGCCGACCGAATGAATAACGAACATAACAAACTAATTGACAGTACGTACCAAGGAACAACAAAAATTACTTGAGTGCCAATTCAATTCAAAGAGTCAGTAAAGGCTGGCAAATTGCTGTTTTGTTTGAATATTGTATGCTTCTCTGCTAATTTTCGTAATGTTTGCAGTGCAAAAATGAGAAATGAGCTACGGTACAAATAAGCGCGGCAAACAGCGAAATTACCGATTAAACAAAAAATAAAAAGAAATAACAAAAGCTTTTTTATTTTTTAAGCAACGACCAAATTGAAAAGAAGATTTACAAAAAAAAAATACAGTAAATCAAAAACATGTGAAAAAGACTTGATAAAATCATCAGAAATAACCGCGAAGGAAAACAAAATAACAAAAAAAAATTGGCACACAGTCAAACAAAAGTGTTACATTGAAAAATAAGAAAAAGAAGCAATTTGAAAATGAAATGAAAAATTGTCATAAAAAGTAAATGCAATTTTGCGCGGTCAAAGATTTTTTTGTTTTTGTGTATAATAAACTTATTCAACGCAAAGCGGTTAATAATAAAAAAGTGGATGGGGAGTGAAAATGGGGTTGTAAAAACGCTAACTAAATCAATTTTTGTGCCTTAGATGCATAAGTATAGTTAATATACATATGACTAAAATACGCAAAGTTAGGCAAGTTAGTGTCTAAAGCACTTTCATTCAATAGTAGTGTCTGTGACTGATCCACTGTAACAAGAGCTTTAT